TGTTGCTGTACTAGTGACGAATTGCCATGTTTTGTTTACGTGATAAACCTTACTAGTTGGCTGTGTCGGGTGGTGGCGGTTTTAATGACACTTTTATATATTTACGCGATCTAACCCAAAAAACCTCTATTATGAATGATATTGGTCGCGAAAGCCTACACCGTGTTAATCTTCTCTCCCACTTGAGGACTGAGTCACACAACCGCACTGGGAGCTGAACTGGAGGAAGGGCTTCTTAGTTGTAAATATACTTAACAGATAGGTCATTCTTGATTTGAAGTTTTCATGACTGCAGAGATAGGTCATTTATCCACTTCGCATGCGTAAAATAGACTTACTGTGTACGCATTACATTGGTTTCATTGTTTAAATGTCACTGTAATTGAAAGTGCCCATTTAATTTCACCGTACATTTGTAAGATAAAACGACGACAGCTCTGCGAGTGTGTCTTTGGCAGGGTCTAGTTAATGTTTTCGTTGACTTGTGGATGCATTTGTAATGGCTTTCAACCAGTTTTATTCCAACTGTGCTATTGCTACCATGTCAAGAGACGAAGTGTCCATTTGGAGCTCTCGCAGAGCAGGGCACTGCCCCCGGTGTTGGAGAACGGCCCACAGAAGACGACATCACAGAACTGCTTCTGAGATCCCTTCACGTGACCCTTTCATCCAAACGTTGGTGCTTTGTGCTCTGCCACGTGCCCTGCCAACTGACAAACGTATGTCGCGTGGCGGTCATGTCGACGGAGTATTTTGATTTCTCGGAGCTAGAATTTGGCTAAATTGAGTGAAAAGGCAAATGTAACGTGCTTTTGTGTGTGTGTGTGTGTAGGCATGGGTTGTGGGAAGCGATAGTGAAGCGGTTAGCGCGCTGCGCTATGAACCCAACGACCCGGGTTCGATTCCTGCTCACGGCCAACACCAGCGACGATTATCTGAACCGGTCCTGGGCCTCCGCTAGGTCGACTCAGCCTCAAATGAGTACCTGGTGCGGTGTGTAAACATCGCCACTGGGGAGACAAATGCGTTCGGGCGTGGTGCTGGCCACCCACCCCCTCGTGTACCGTTCCGGCCTTCATAGGTGCTGCTTGCTAACCGCACTTTCCCCTACAGTCTGTGAAGGCTCTACGGGGGGATCTTTAGTTTTTTTTGGTTTGTATAGGCATGGGTGCTGAAACAATACAACTTTCTACATATAGATACTGGCAGGTGAAATCCATTTCACTAGAAGTAGGATCTCGGCTGTACCGATTCAGTGCTCAGCCGATAGCGTGAGAGGGCAGTGAATGTAAAACATGCGAGCGATAAGCACTTGAGCTACCGAGATGCTCTGTAGCCAAGTGGTGGCACAAGGTGAATGGATAACTACAGATGGGTATCTCTCCAGAACGCAATCTTTATTACTAGTATTATGCTTGCTAAGGGAGGAAAGCCTCACTGAGCCTCAAGACTTGTTTTCAGGAGGGTTTTGCCAAGTTTTCGCAGTACGGGGAGCAATGAGCTGATGTCTAGAATCCCCATTGAGTAATTTGAAGGTCGCGTTTCAGCATTGGGATGTTTGGCCAATACCATATACATTGAACTGTAAAGATGTTTTATTTTATTTTACCAATTAAGGCCCACTGAGTTATATAGATGTTTTTTTTTCAGAAACGACCAGGCTATCACAAATGACAGCTCAACGGAGTAGCTTTTCGCGTGGAACTTTCTAGCAGCAAAAAACATACAAATTCACGTTGATTATAAATGTGGTGGGGAAAAACAGAGAACCCGGAGAAAAATCCACGCGACTACGGGGAAAACATGCAAACTCTAAATATACAGGCATCAGGGTCGGGATGGAACCCACGACCTCCTGTATACTGCGGCTTGGTGGAAAGATTTTTAATTTGTATTCGGCATTACCCCACGACCTACCACCATTACCTCGTGTGTGTCATACATTTGGCAGGAAAAGGTTGAAATATGGAGACATTCAACTTTGGAGTAAAACATAATCGACACTGCACTCACCTGAACGCAGCCACCCCACCCAAATCGTAAGCCTCCACATTCCTCGCAAGGCAGATCTAAAATTAGCATTCTAAAAGCATCAGATCACGTAATATACCAAACTGGCTATTCATTTGCCAATAATTACACAGGGTAATGCCAATCGTTACAAATTGGGTTATTTAACAGAATAAAAAAGTCAGTCTTGGTTTTGTTGAAGAGTGAATCAGTTTCTCCGTTTTTGGATTGGTGTGGATTTGGTATTGGCTTGGCCTAGGAACTCACTGCAACCCGGGTGGCATGTCAACTCAGTCTTGCTGGCTTACCAAACAACAACAACAATAATACAATGATACGAAACTCGTTATATTTTGTTCCCTATTTGTCGATAGGTTAGGCCGGCACTGTTGTGATGGAGCATAATTGGGTAAAATAATATTTAGGTAGAATTCCAATGACATCTGTCAACCTGGCAGCATTCAACTTTAAGAGCGGGGTTTTCGTAGCCAATGTAATGATGACGGTCCAATTAGATTGAGCGAATTGTCGTAAGTTGACGTCAAATCGTCATGAAAAGTCTGGCGCCACCGGTGAAGAGAAGCTTTATTTGACATAATTCCATTGATACATTGCCCACGTGTGAATAATAATAGTAATATCTTTACGAATGTGGCAATCTTGTCACATGGTGGGGGTGAACGACAAAAAATATCGTTTTTATTATAGCAACAAAAAATACTTACGTTGCCTAACCACCCCACCTGCCCCCTTTAAAAAAACACATGGATCCTAGCAGCATTTGTTTAACAAGCCTCAATGACTAACGATACTCAGAAGGTCGTATGGAGTCCAGAGTTTGCTTGCTTACACAAATGCTACTGTTGGTTCATAGATTTCTCGAATGAAGATTGGCCGATGGATCGCAAAGCATTGTGTGTGTGTGTCTTTTGTATGTGCTTATCATAAGCTTTCATCGGTGCTTTGTCAAACCGCTGCCGGATGAAGGCCTCCCCACGTCGTATCGATCGTGTTGGTTGTTTGACTCTACTTCACTACGCCGGTCTGTCTGGGCTTGTTGGTAAGGGGGGTGGAGGTGCCCAGGACCGGTTTGGAGATCACTCACCGCTCCCTTTGCCACGGTGGAGAGATGTTACCGACCTCACCTGGTATACACGAGGTTCGTGGGTTCGTGGGTTCGATCCCAACCCTGACGCCTGTTGTATATTTGCTAGTTTGCGTGTCTCTCTCCCCGTGGTTGCGTGGATTTTAATCCGGGTCCTCTGTTTTTTCCCCTCGCATTTAGAATCAACATCACGCGTTCAGAGCATTTGGCTGCTATACATTTCCACATTGATAAGCCACTTAGTTGAGCTATCATTTGTGATAGTCTGGCCGCCTTTGAAAAAATAGCTATATAGCTCAGTGGGTCTTACCTGGTCAAATAAATCAAATAAGTTTAGCGTTAACAGTTTGAATTGCCAAACAAGAGCGAAGTCTAGTTTTGAGAACTTCACCTTACGCTGATGCAAAAACACGCACGGACTTGCCCTCTCTCCCAGTGGCCATGAAGATGGCGCTTTGCGTAATCATCACACGCCTCGTGGTGGCTTTCGTTTCATTCTTCTCGTGGCTCACAGGAGCCGCGTGTGGAGCACGCTACGCCATCGTCGCCACTGTTGACCTGCCTATGGCTCAAAACAAATCCCGCACCCATACCGGAGGATGACCTTTTAACTTCGTTACGCACCAAAAACCATCCCCAAATTCAAATATCGATACCGTACTATTATTAGCAGTAGGAAAGTAGTGCAAGATGTCGCAACGGCCGTGCCCACCGTGACTACGAAAATGTCCCCTCGGCCGCTGGTGGCATCAATGGTGTTGAGAATAGCCACACGGTGGCTGTGTCTGCTGTCATCCAGCACTGTGGTGGAGGCAGCAGCAGCGAGGGGGTTTCGTGGATCACCGCACACACAGACGTTGTCGTGGTGGAACTCCCTTCCCCGTGGGCATCGAGAAGGGGTCATCCGTACCCTTGTTCGCCAGGTGAAGGCAGGGCAGCAAGTGGACTAAACATTTGTGACATTGCCCCTCCCCCCCCCAAGCTGCCAGAACGAGCTGCCTGGACAGGAGCTTCCTTCACTCTGTTGTCCGGATATGGAAGTGCCTCCCACATTGTCAGCGGAATCACCGATTTTCGGCTTCAGGTCTTCAAATGCCGAGCACAAGAGACAAAGACAAAGATCCCCCGTATAGCCTTAACAGACTGTAGGAGCAAGTGCTGTTAGCGAGCACATATGAAGGCCGGAACGATACACGACGGGGTGGGTGACCAGAACCACGCCCGACCGCCTTTGTCTCCCCAGTGGCGATGTTTACACACTGCACCAGGCACTCATTTGAGGCTGAGTCGACCTAGGGGAGGTCCCAGGACCGGGTTAGGTAATCATCACTGGTGTTGGCCGTGAGCGGGAATCGAACTCGGGTGGCCGGGTTCATAGCGCAGCGTGCTAACCGCTACACCACGAGCACACAAACACACACGGACATCTGCTAACTTCACCGCATGCCTGTAGCACCGAGTCTTTGAGCTGCAGCGAACCAACGATTATGCCGATTGCATGATGTACTAACGTCTGATATGGCCGTTGTTCGCAATTGCACCCAATTAAAAAACACTTCCGCCTGTTTCCAATCTGTACGGAGACCTGAATAGTCTCAAAACATCTCACGATGAATAGAACACATCTTATGATAAAAACCTTAACGCAAGAACCCTCCTGAAAAAAAACTCTTACGACTCAGCACGGCTTTACCTGGGGTAAAAAAAAAGCTTTTATTAGCTATGATTTTTTGAATAATTATTTTCGACAACCCTACCGACTTAAGACGTTAAAATGCTGCCAACACCACAGGTGTGTTTCAGGCCATGCAATTATGATGATGTCAGGGCCCATTCCCCCACCCCCGGTTCTCTGGGTGTGGCTCTATAAAGCCCTGGGATCTAGTCGGATCGGGTTTGTGCTCCGACTTTCACAGCGTTGGGGGGGGGCTTCTTTGTGACTTCGCCTCGCCTCGCTCGCTGCCGCCTCGTTCGTTCACTGGCACGCGTTCCTCGAATCTCCTAAGCTGTGGTTGGAGCAAGCGCCGACAAACGAGCCGCGTGCGACGTGACAGGGAACGATGGCCATCGGAGTGGAAGCTGCCTTCGTGGTTCTCCTGGCGTGCGTCGCCGGCGTGGAATTGGCTGTCCTGGGTAAGGGTGGAACTTCGCGTCGCCAATGCATGTTCTTGGTGGCTCGCAATGGCTTGTGAATGTTGTGCTCGCTGGCTATATCCCCCTGCCTACGCGTTCCTCGGCAACACTTTGCTCCATAGAGGGATAACATATAACAGGTGAATTTTATGGGTTCGTGACCCCTTTTAACGTGGTGGAGTTATTTTTTGTGTGTGTTTTGTTTGTTTGTTCTTGAGAGGTTCATTTAAAAGTTAACGTTTTCACACTGCTCGATTATGTGATTCTTACATTAATGATGGGCTTTGGTGTCAGCCCAACACCGCATTTAGATGTGTTGTCGTTATCTTGTTCTCTGGAGCACTATTCACGTGTCGCATGAATAACGCAAAATAAATACAATACCAACTTTAACAGATGAGCCAATAAAGCATTTAGTGCCCGTAAATACAACTGCTTGGATGGAACGTGCTTTTTTTCTTTTAGATTCAATGAACGCACTTTATAATACGGACGTGCTGTCTGCAAATGTTTAAATTGCTAAACCAGTAAATACGTCTACTGAATATATGATTCTGGATATAAGTATGTACTGCATATCATCATGAACGCCATAGCTGTATGAGCCATCATCAACTCTGGGACTTGATATATTTGGCATCACCTTTCGCGGTTGGTCCCACATTGGATGAGAGACTGGCTTCACCATAGGAGTGTGGAATTTCCACCACGGCATCACGGCCACCGAATGGGCATGATGAAACCACCCATGCTCTGTTGAGCGGGGCAGATCCTGACAATTTCAATAAATATATTTGGAAGCTTCTACGGATAAAGCGGGCCACCCTGCCATTAGCAATGTGGAATTTCCACCACTTTCACAACAATCGCACACGGACGGGGAGGGTGCGGTGTCAATTATTAGGTGAACACTTTGGACTTGCAGTCCAAGAGGAGGCCAGTTCAATGCGGTCTCCGGGCGCGCCAGTTGACAGAATGTCACAAGCTCCTTTCATCCTGTTTCCAGCCTGCCCCACCTGCCCCACCTCTGTCCACGCTGCAGCCCAAAGGGCTGTGAGCCGCAGCTCGTCAACCGGCAGGTTTCAGTGTAGTGGGGTAAAATGTGGGTACTCTCATCTGCCGCCTCCAGCCAGCAGTAGCATAAACGGGCAATTGCAGGGCCGCGCCTTCACCTTTTGACCGGCGTGTAGCCAAGGTTATCTGGACTGCTCCCTGCCATAGAAATGTGGAACTTAAACTTGGCTTGGGGCCGAAAGTCAAGCTGGGCGCCACCCCACGCTCCTCTTGAGCAAAGATGGTCTTCAATACTTTGCCTTGTGGCTTAAGGGGGGTGGGGTGATCTCACGTAGACAAACAAAGACAAACATCTCCCGTATAGCCTTTAACGGATTGTTGGCGAGCAACTGTGAAGGCCGGCACAGCAAACGAGGGGATGGGTGGCCAGCACCACGCCCGACGGCCTTTGTCTCCCTAGTGGCGATGTTTACACACCGCACCAGGAACTCATTTTAGGCCGAGTCGACCTAGGGGAAGCCCAGGACCGGTTCCGATAATCGTCACTGGTGTTGGCCGTGAGTGGGAATTAAACTCGGGTCGCCGGGTTCGTAGCGCAGCGTGCTAACTGCTACACAAAGACAAAGACACGGAATGCACCCACTGGATTCTAACACGCAAATGTGGTGTTTATCGTTGGGGTTTTTCGTGGTTTCAGGCAGCGGCACCAAGCCCCAACTCGCGAGCTCGACGACCGTTCCGTACAACCCGACGGAGACGACGATCGTGTGGTCCAAGCCCTTCTGCGTGTTCCAAAAGCCCGTCTCCACCACTCAGTACGTCGTGGACGTCTACGCGTCCATCACCAACAACAGTAAGCGGCTCTCGAACCTCTTCTTATCGTCGTTGGCGTTGGAGGCCTGAGACCGCTGAAGTGCACCCTATCTCGGAAGCCAAGCGGCATTTAAACCGAAGTCGGCCCCATCAACTAAATAGCGCGGGGGTCTGCAACCTGCGGCTCCGGAGCCGCGCGAGACTCGTTTAAGGACTGCGGTGCGGCCCTTGAAATTCGAAAAAAAAAAGCCTCATTATTTTGGTGGCTAACCCCTTGACCATGGAGCAGAGGTCGCCCGACCATGGGCTGAGGTCGGCAACCTGCAGATCCGGAGTTGCATGCGGCTCATTAAGGACCGTTTTGTGACGTTATTTATTCAGGATCACAGTCTCGAATTCATATGACATGGATCTCTTGAAATATCGGGGCGGGGGGGGGGGTTTAAACCAATTTGGTAAAACTGGCTCTTTTTGTTGCTGACCCCTGAACTAGTGGATGGACGACCAACACGCATATCTCGGGGTGTATTGAAGACTTCTGTGAGGCTTGCATCCGATATATGTAGCATTTATTTTAATGTATTAAGTTGCGAGCCGGATGGGCCAGAATTGGGCAAGGATGTTGCCCACTTTTCACCAAAGCAACCAGAGAGCACAGACTTGGGTGTGGTCTTTCTACCTTATCCCTCAAACAATGAAGAACTACATCTATTTGTAACCAACACACAAGTAGCGGGCAACAACATCCATTGCTGTACGTTACTTCTGTCCTACGCTCCTTCTACAATCCACACTGACCAGTGTGGTGAAGTATGGTCAAATCGCCCCCCTCCCGTCTACCCAACATGACCCATATGTTATTGAGAGTCCCTCGTCTAGCAGTGGAAAGTTTGCACATTCGTCAGTCAGGGTTGGTGAATGGCAAAAATGTTGAGGTCATACCTTGGCTTGCTATGAGAATGTGGTACATTTACAAATGTGAACTCCACCCAGTTCTATCTGTATGAGATTGTGTTTCCCCCAAGCATGCGTGGTTTGCTCAAGGTGTTCCGGTGTCCTGCCACATTGTAAACACGAATGAATTGGCTGCTGACACCCTCCTATATAAAAGACCACAGAGCTTGCCTTCCCCACTCGCCTGTGGTTCATCCTCACGTTTCGGAGTTATTTCTCCAGGAGAGCGATTCGGATACTGTGCAGCAGTGTAGAACAATTTACATTCATATAGCACTGCCTTACAAATTATATATATATTTGTTTTAATAAAAGGCGACATTTTGGCAGTGGCCTTCATTTATGGCAACATAGGCCAGAATGGTTAAGGGTTGGAGGCAGTAATTTTACACTTTCTACACCATGTCCATAACATATATCTATACACACACACACCTTGTCCATGATGCCACTCTACCTCACTTGGCCTCATCCCTCCACGTTGCTGTGAAGAATGGACATCACGAATCCACTAAGGATTAAATTAATTATTCAGTGATAGTGCATGGACAGTGGGTGCACAAGCACGCGCTCGGGCGCACATTCGTACACAGCACCGTGGCCCTAAGAATAAAAGCATAATGGGCAAGCTTTGAGCAATGACCTGTCTTGATAGCGTACACATGGGCGTCCAACGAAGGGCAGGGCCATTGATACGCTCCATTTATTTGTTTGCGCTCGCTCTAAAGAAAGCCACGCCCAATACTTCAGCTAATTATAGGTTTAAAAAAACAATTAAATAAATATTTCTATTCGATTCTTGCCTTCGGGAGCAAGATGCTAATGCCTTGGGAGGGGGGGGGGGTGTTAGCTTCAGTAGAGTTCGTGTAGTTTGACTTTGTCTCCATTTTTGAAGGAGCGTAGATTAGAAATAATTTTGCCTCGACGGTCCAAAGTTTTGGGATTTTGTGCCTGTCTGCCACTACCAATTCAGAATCGCCCATGAGTTTGTTTTAAGATTCTGAAAATGGAGCTCATTCGCTCATGCATTGCTCGCATAACTCTACTGAATTTACACCCCAGTTTAAAAAAAGAAGTCCACTCACAGCAATATGTTTGTCACGTAGTACTACACAATGGAGAACATTCAAGTATTAATTAAATTATTTAATAAAAATTTGTTTTTTTATTCACACTTTTTTTCGTGGACATCTGGGGTCAAATTCGTTGCAATTACCCTCAAATTGCACTTACATGACAATTATGATAGTTTTTTTATGGTAAAGTATTTTTAATGCCTTCCGACCTGAGATTGAAAGCAAGATGTAGCACTCTGAAGGGTTGGCACTAAATCCCTCTAATGAGAAAGGCATTATAATAGGTGACGGTTTCGGGCATGACCCTTCTTCAAAGCACACAGAAAGGCCGAGTGAATAAGCAAGTGGTGAGTGCATAATCTGCCATGAGGCCCTGAACAGAATGAAAAGGAACAGTTTTAAATTGGCATATAAATAGTTACCTTTTTATTATGGATATTGAGCAACACACCCTTCAATAAACAAACATCTATTTACGCATAGTTATTTATATTAAAATGACATTTAGAATGTTTCTGGAACATTGCATTGTGGGTAGCCATGTTGCAGTGTGGTGTCTTTATTGAAGAGAGAGGACCCATTGTTGACTTGGTGACTCATTGCACAATGGAAGTGGAGATTTTAAATAAATATTAGGATCAAAGGTGCTTTGAAGAATTTTTTTTAAATTCCTCTGTTGCAAGCAGGGTAGATGAATTCACAGGAGAGGAGACTTAAAAACAAGACCGAGTTCTAGTGTATTTTTACCCCGCGCTGTCCAATTTTACCGAGAAATTAAATGTGTTATGCAAGGAAATGTGTTCCTGTAGGAGGAAACAGTGCATATGACCTTCCAAAGGAGTAAGGTTTGTACACCGCTTTAAAATAAAACTACGTGTCAAGTGCAGATGAGTTGTTAATTTGGTCATCCCAAATGAATTGTATTCAGTTCGAAAGACATGGGCTGTCTTTTTTTTTCTGGTACCATTCCCACCAGATATCAAGTGGAGGCTAGGTACCGACATGTCACTGGGGGGGGGGGGGGGGGGTGCTGTGGTCTGTACTGTTGAGTGACGAGCCACTGGTTTGGACTTTGTGGAGAGCTCACAGAAGGATGTTAGCCAAATCTGTTGCCTCGGCACTTGCACATTTCTCCAAAGTAGTGGAGGCCATGGCGTTTGCATGCGGTGCGATAGACCAGATTCGTGGAGGTGCATGCAAAATCTTTGGTGGCACAAAATACTATTCAAATAAGCAAATGCGTTTTTACCCATACGCCAAATGCGCATTGTATAAAGCATTATGTAATCCAATGGATACGTGTGATTCGTGCGAATGCGTGCTTTGTGCCAACTTGTATTTCAACGTCTCTCAATTTATCTCCAGGTTATGCATTCGACAACTCGATCGGCACAGCGCTGTCCTCCTACTGGACGAACCCGGTGTCGCCCAGTCCGTACCTCGCAGCCACATTTGACGTTCCGGACTGTGGAATCCAAGCCAGCCCTTTTGACGCCATGGCTGTCAAGACGAACGGGACATTCCGTCTGGGCGGTGACACGGCCTGCGTGAACAGCATAGGGCCCAGTGCGTCCGCATGCAACGGACCCCTCGTACCCGGAATGAAGTACAGGTCAGTCCGCACGACAACGGTGGCGACGCCTCCTCGTGGTGGGGCAAGCAGGGGGGGAGGGTGCAATGCTGGTGACGTAGCGCGCGGTTGGCATGGGATGGGGAGCAGTCGTGTGACCGTTAGCGCGCTGCGTCACAAACCTGGCGACCCAAGTTCGATTCCCGCTTACGGCCAACACCGATGACGATTATCTGAACCAGTCCCGAGCCTCCCCTCGGTCGACCTGGCATCAAATTAGTACCTTGTGCGATGTTTAAATGGCACCACGAGGGAGACCAAGGCGGCTGGGCATGGTTTTAACCACCCGCCCTCTCGTGTGCCGTGCTAGCCTTCATATGTGCTCGTTTAACAGCACTTGCCTCAACAGTCTGTAAGAGCTATATGGGGGGGGGGGGGTCTTTTTCTTTGTCTTGGTTAGCATGGGGCTCTCATGCTCGGGATTGAAGTGACGGCCTCCTGTCCAATATTCGGCGATAATTTCCACATCATTTGAGTACATTCTCAATCGCTTATTCTCGAGTCTGTGATTTTATGCGTGCATTGAGGGACAGTAATAGATTTTTCATTATTTTGATGAAATAATAATATTCAGAGTTAACCATATCAGTCGATTTAATCGAGTACATAATTATAAACTACTCTTTTGTGATCGACTATTTAGGGCCCTCTTTTTTATGATGCTCCCGAAGGCAGCGCCCCCCCCGCCTCCAAGCTATCCCACGTGACGCAGCGATCATGCCGATGACCTCATCAAACCCTTCCAATCACCTCCCATTCAGTGAGATCTGGGAACGGAGGCGATACCCCCACCCCCACCACCTATGTGTCATTCAAATAATTGAGTGATTTGGCCCTTATTAATTAACGATGACCTAAATAATCGTGTAGCCCAGCCGGAACAGTGTACTATATTTGCAGGATCCATTTGATATGAACCGTACCTTTTAATGTCCATACAGTTCTGGATTATGTAACAATAAAACGTGCCTCATTTCACGATTCAGTCGACAGATACTAGAACACATTATTATCATTACAGTATTTAATCACGAAAGCCATCCAAGTGTTCAATACAGTACTTGTTTTGCAGTGGTAAGTGATGCAGCATGCTCTGTGTTAAATTACTACTGCAACATAGGACAAGATTTGTTAATGAAAACTATGAATGTCAAGAATGCTATCCTGGAAATGTGGCACTTGTTATGCATATGGTAAAATCATCTGTTTATATTTTCTATAGAAATACTATATTCTTCGCGACAATTGTCTTATGTTGATGCTCTTTATTGCAGAGTGAAATATACGCTTTCGGAAGCAACTGCACAAAATCCCAAACCTATTGTGGATCAAACTCCCTGGTCAGACCCTGTCTCCACAAAGAAATGTGAGTAACACTAAACCTTCGTACAGTCCACAACTCGGTTTAATACTTAGGCTTTCGCAACCAAAATCATAATACAGGTTTTTTTGGGTTGGATCGTGTAAATGTGTGTCGTTAAACCCACCACCACACGACACAGCCAATTCGTAAGGGTTGTCACGAAACGGGTGGACTGTTCCACAAATCTAGCTGTCGCCTGATGAAGCTAGTTGTACTTACTGGTGAAATGTCGTACTCTGATTTTAAATGTTGTGGCTTGGCTCTCCAACACACCGGTTAGTGCTGTACTAGTAATGAATTGGCACGTTCTGTTTACGTGCCAAACCTTACTAATTGGCTGTGTCGGGTGGTGGCGGGTTTAACGGCACATTTATATTTTTACGCGATTTAACTTGTAAGAACCTGTATTAAGTCCACACTCACCTGGTGCTTTTCCTAATTTAATTAATTGGAGTTCGTTTTTTAAAATTGTAATTAGCCACTGTCCTTATCATGCGATTTAACAAACCTCCCTGATGTGGCCGGGATTGGTCCCCATGGCAGTTTCGGCAAGGCTGCTCCCAAATACCATTGCGAATTTTTGTTCGGAGTTAAAAACACCTTCTCGCCTCAGACTCTCAGACTCTCGATACTGGGGCCAAGGGTGGTGGCCCTACGTGAGTAGAGGACGGGGATTTGGTAAACGAGTGGGGGCAGCGTCTATGAGCAAGTGGGGCTCTGCGAACGTCGGAGTGAATCCACTTAACTGTGGGCGGGGACTCGTGATTTAATGGGCGTGGCTATGTGTAAACATGGGCGTGGTTATGTATAAAAGTGGGCGTGGTTATGTGTAAACATAGGCATGGCTATGTGTAAACGTGGGCGTGGTTATGTATAAACACGGGCGTGGTTATGTAAAACTGGGCGTGGTTATGTATTAAAATGGGCGTGGTTATGTGGAAAACTGGGCGTGGTTATGTATGAAAATGGGCGTGGTTATGTAAACGTGGGCGTGGTTATGTAAAAGTGGGCGTGGTTATGTGTAAAATGGGCGTGGTTATGTAAACGAATGGGCGGGGCTGCCAGGTCACCAAGTGTCCCCTTGGGCTGAGCCTCCCAGAAATGTTTGGATGGCTTTTCTACAGTGGCGGCTCCGTGACATTTCCACTAGGCGGGGCTGTTGTGAGTGACCTCTGAAAATATGGTGTTCTAATTAAGAAAAACCTCGGCATGTTATAGTGATAATTGTCTTGTCTACCAACGGTAGGCATTTATTAACAATACGAAACAAAACAACAGCACTCAAATGCTGTCCCCATGACCCTCAAGGCCACACTACACAATCCTTTCATCCTTTCAAATGGAACATTTAGGAGTGACTCGCACAGTGTTCGCTGCTAATTGTTCGTTTGCTGCACCTGCTGTCATCGCCATTGCTGTTGTTTCCTCCTAGAGCGTGTAGGCCATGACCTGCTATATTTGGACAGTGCAACTTAGCGTTCTGACATCGTCATTACAGCCATGGGTGGCTTTTTCACCGCCCTGAATGGGTCTCAAACGGCGTGGCTAAATTGCGAAGCTCATTGCAATGAATGAAGGGAAATCTCGATTTAAAGCTTTCGTGACTGCAGGGATTCATCTTCTTGGTTCTTTCGGTAAAGTCCTTTCTACGTGACTTTACCGAAAGAACTAAGAAGAAGGAAATCTCTCACTCGGACGCCTTCACAGCCACCCTGAGAACTCCCCAAGGCACAAATCAGACTGTGGTGTTGCAGGGGTTTCTAATATGAATAACTTCAAATTTTATCTTCATTAGGCAATTCACGTTGAAAGCATAATTATATTATAATTATACTTTCAACACAACAAAACTATTGATAGGAAAGTATTTTTTTTATTAGAAATATTACATCGCATCTCCTGTTGCTTGGTGGGGCGACGCCCCAACGCCCCTAGTGGATGAACCGCGCCTGCTGTTAGATATTTTTTACAATGGACATGAATAATATAATAATTTGCCCGAGGACATTTTTCAAGCGTGTAAATTGCGGTCTTAACCATTAAGGTGATGTACCAAGTGGTTCACGTTTTGGAATTTCTCTCTTTTAAAATCCGAATCACCTTAACTATTTCATCTTCTAAGTTGAGTGTCCTAAGTCTGCCTCAATCTCTCTTCCATCTACACCGTGTCGTGGACATTTATTGACGTCTGTTATTTTGGGGCTCGACTTCCCAGGCGTTTGGAAATGGTGGTTAATTGTACGGTCATTTTTGTGTCTCTCCGTTAATGCTCTCGCGCATTGAACGACGTTTCCTGTCGTTTGTCCGAGCGCTCGCTATTTAATCTGTGGTCGTGGAAATACATATGAAGAGTCTCGCAGATGCACGGTTCATAATAACTCGACCTCGTGAATTATGCAGGTCTCCGCTCTTATTTTCCATCTAATGAGTGACAAATGCGATAATTCGTTATTGACCCAGTATGGATGCTGTTGATGTTATTTTTTTACATTTCACACGGGGGTTTTGGTTTTCGTTTTGAGGGAAATTAACTTTGCGTGACCTCCAGTACTGCTGCTTGAAGAGGCAGATGCGTTTACAGCTCAGCCACGCATAGAAGGGTGCAAGGGTTGGTGGTTGACGGGAGAGATTCGTGAAAATCGAAAACCCAATGTGTCGTGAGGTGGCTAGGAATTCGTAGTAACGCAAGCGAGTTTGTGAACCCATCTGTGCGGAGTGAGTTATCTCCTACCTGCATGAATCCAAGCGCTCCTTGAAAATTGAATTGGATAAAAAACCCGATCCAGGACGCGCCTGATGAGTCTTGAGACTTAATTCTTCTTTCATGCTTAAATAAATGACGTTGCAATGTCTTGTCATTGGCGACCAAGTTTTCCAATTGCAAGGAGCCTCCATATCTGAGGGTTACCCAAATTGATATACTGTGCAAGTGTCGACCAATCCGTCGTCAAACTTCTTATTATTTTTTTCGATTTGTCACTTTTTATGTTGAAATATTGTACAGTTTTGCCTTTGTAAGACTCAACCCTCAATTTATATTAATTGCATTTATAAGGCATCGTTCAGTCTCAACGTGCGATGAATGAAAAGGATACATTAAAGAAAACTGGGGGTGGCAAAATTTGAGCTAAAAGAAATGTTGAACGTGTTTTATTAAAAATGTAAACTGCTCTTTTACAAATGTGTCCTGTAAAACTCATCAAAGACTCTCTCTGACTTAATACTTGGTGGAGTTTATTTGTTAAAAGATCGGGTTTTGGGCTGGGATTTAAAGACGGCAGCATTCTCCAGAGCCTGTGTGACCTCCACCGGTAAAACGAAACTATATATTTTTATTTTACCAGGTAAGGCCCACTGAGCTATACAGCTCTTCTTTCAGAAACGACCTGACCACAAATGATAGCTCAATGAAGTGGCTTATGTGGAAATTTATATCGGCCAAATACTCTAGGGAGTTCAAGAATTTGGAGGCCGCCACCACGGTAAATTCCCATTCTTATTTCTATTATTGACCATTTGTAGCAATGGCAGATCCAAAGGACCCTGGCAATTGGTATTTTATTGATTTTTTTCTACCAGATAAAATACATTTATTATTGTGGGGTCTTCTTTAAAAAAAACTTGCCATTTTGGGACTGCACCTCCGTCCCTCATGGGAGGTTTGTAGATCTGCCTGATATAGATTTGTAACATGTATTCACTACTAAACCAAGTTGAGCGAACCTTCCCGCCCCACAAAGACAAAGATGCCCCATGTAGCCTTAATAGACTATTGAGACAAGTGCTGTTAGCGAGCGCCTATGAATGCCAGCACCACTCCCGGTCGCCTTTGTGTCCTCCCGTGTGGTGACCTTTACACACTGCACCAGGTACTCATTTGAGGCCGAGTCGACTTGGGGGAGGCCCACGACCAGTTCGGATAATTGTTGCGGGTGTTGTCCGTGAGCGGGAATCGAACTCGGGTCGCCGGATTTTGTAGCGCGCTAACCGCTACGCCACCGCTCCCCCCCCCCCCACCGCTCCCCCGCCCCCCCTCCCACCGACTTGACGAGCCCAGCGCCAGCGGCCAGCACCATCAACACGTGGCCCGGCAAACGCACGGGCGGGATGGTGGTGGTTACCGCCGTGCTCAGCACGCTGCTCTTCCTGCTGCTCGCCGCACTCCTCCTGGTGGTCATCTTCAAGGCGTGCAGGTGAGCAGCGGGGTGCTTTTGCTCGCACGCGCACACCGCACGCGTTTACATGGGGGGGGGGGGGAGCGGGTGGTGGCTAAGGACGGACAGCCAAACCCGTCGGCAACGTGAACTTAAAACCATAAATTAAACTATGTTTACCAGGTAAGGCCCACAGTTGTAAAGATATTTTTTCTCCGATGTAAAGCGGCGAGTTGTCACCGGGGTTGGCATACTTCGGTGACGTGGCTCGGCAGAAAGCGAGTTCAGTGCTTGTTGCAGAGGCTTGCGGTTTGGGCCTGGCAACCGCCCTGTTTAATAAGCGCCGGTGCGCATCAACCGCAAAATACGAGCTGTCTGCTTCACAGTGCGCATTAAAGATCCTGTGTCATTTAAAAAACTAAATTACTTTTTTTTTTACTTACCAGGTAAGCCACCACGAATCTACGTAGCTATTTTTCTCAACTAACCTGACTGCAAATTAGATCGCTCAACGAAGTGGATTATCAAGCGGAAATGTATAGCAGTCAAATACTGTGGATTCTAAATGTGGAGGGGAAAAACTGGAGGACCCAGAGAGGGGGGGAAAAAAAGCCAAACAACCACAGTGAGAACACGCAACCTCCAAATATGCAGCAGCCATCAGGGTTGGGATTGAACCTCATGACCTCCTGTATACCAGACGAGGTAGTTAACATCTCCTAGCCACCGTGGCACCTTTTGGCACTGGACATCTGTAAAAAAATATCTTCACAGCTCATCGGATTCCTCCCAGTCGAAATAGAGAATCTGATCTGAAATTCACCAGTTCTTAGACAAAGCCATTGAAATGGCTAAATCCCTTTTACTGAATCTCTAATGATTGCTCTTAATTGGCTGCACGGAATCGTAACACGTGAGGAATTTTAATTTATACATTTTTTTAAGTAAACAGTTGAACCTTATGGCAGGGACCCTGGGGTCCCACAAGCCCCAGGCTCTCGCATCAACTGCGTTGCGACGTCATTGTGTGTCTGTTGAAGGCGAACGGTACGGCAATCTATTCCTCTCGACGAGCTCTACACGATGCGCTAATCAAAGTTTCAAAGTTTTGTTTATGACTACGGAAACTTTGGCAATGGACGGGTGCTTGGTGAAGAACGAGAAGATTGATTTCTGGAGGGTTGTGGCGTTTGTGTGCGCGGTGGGACAGAGTCGCCAAAAAGACATTAATCAATTACGATTTTGACTTCTGTTTATTCAGGACCCCGGGGTCCAGCCATGAGGTTCATTTGTGCAGCGAGTTGGCGCACTAGACTTGCAATCCAGAGGTCGCCGGTTTGATTTGGTCTCCTGGCGCGGCATTTGAAAAAACAAAAACGTGGGCAATGTTTCCTAAATTCCCCAACCACCTCTGCCCCCCCCCCCCCCCACAGCGTTTGTCCACCCAGCAGTATAAATCGCTTCGCCACAGTCGATCGACAGGTGGCATGTGGTGGGACAGTGTGGGTACTCCCACTGCTTCCAAGATTTATGACCAACGTGGAAGGGGTAGGCCTAAATACCCTCTGGGTGGGGGGGGGGGGCTCTCTAGAGCTTCCTCTCGTGAAATCGCTTCCCCCCCCCCCTAGCAGGAACGTGTGACAAGAAATTGCAGGGCTGAAACCTTTAACACCAATCACACGGCTCTGCCATGAATTCATGCAGGCTTTATGGCATAAAGACCGTCGTTACCGGATATGGAGCAACGGTTGCAACATTTAAGACGGCTGGATACACAGATGAACGTAAATGAGGTTATTTACAAATCGTGCGACGCTCAATAAAGGGTACGCTCACATTACATTTAGACTAATGGTGAAAACAAAACCAATTCAACCGAGACAAACATTTCATTTAATCAAACCGTGACCCTAAATCCTCGTAACAATTCGATGAATTGCTGGGAGGAGGGTGAATTATTATCATTACTAATGCCTGCTTGCTGCCTCCGATTAGCACGGTTGGCTACGTGCGATGCAAAATAAGTTCCGAGTTCAAGTTTACAGGCGCGTGCCATCTTCACATCCCGAGTGCTCCCGAGATGAGAAGGCGGTGGCGGCAGCAGCAGCGCGTCCTGACGACGTTTCGGGTCTCGTGCCCCGCCCCTGTGTCCCCCTCAGCAGCGACACCCAGGAGCTGACCAAGCCGACCCAGGTGGAAGCTCCCCCCATGAGGACGGTTCACTCTGCCTACAAGACGCACTACACCAACAAGGGCTACGGGGAAGACGACAACGCGCCTCCCGCGAAGCCCGAACGATACCAATAATCTCCGGCTCGCTGGGCACGTCGGGTGAGAACGGCAACCCCCGTGCCCGCCCACCCACCCACCACAGCTTTTCTGAATGCCTTTCGCACAACCTGTTACCCGCGGTGTACCCCCATCGATTTCTCCGACTCGTAAAGTAGCCGAGACGGCCTGAGGGCAGGCGTGTTACCGTACATGCTGCTTGCTTCACTATCTTAGTCTTTTGTGTTTAATGTAAATGAATTCTCCTCTCGCCTTATCTCGCTCTCCGCGCGCTCGCACTCTCTCCACTCCAGCCACACCAAGGCTTTGCATTTAAGCTGCCAGTGAGAACCTTTGCTCAGTGGGAGGGGGAGGTCACTCACTCTCCTCTGATGCGCCCAAGGTCTGGAATCTCCCTTATTTGCAGTCTACTGCTAATGAAAATGCATCCAATGCTTTGGACCATGGCCAGGATCTAAGTCTTGGTTTGCGCATGTGCCATACCAAAGGTTGACTTGGTGAATGCGGTGTCAGAGCATCAAAGTGTGGCGGACCACAATGGTTTCAGCCCGATCGCCAATGACTGCAAGAGAAACAAAAAATAATTGTAGTATTTAGTTATAACATTTCTGACATATTTGATTGGCATGTGATTTAATCAACTCTGCAAGTCAAGCATTTTTTGCATCACTGGAAGGAAATAAAATGACGCCACAAGTCGAGTCGTCGTACGACACAATATGGGGGGAGAACTTCATCACAAGGTGGTGCACTGCCAGCTGCTAAAGTTCCGAATGGAAAATCCGTTGGACTTGCGACGCGAACACGAACAGCGTGACTTTGGAATGAAAGTTCAAAGATTAAAAAAGAAACGATGGCCACTCGAGGTAACTCAGTGTGAGATTGCTGCTGGATTCTTACTGAAGAAGTTTCACTCTTGGTTCTTTCGGTAAAGTCACGTAGAAGGGAAACAAAAAAATAAAATAAAAATGAAAACAATATTTTTATTATTTTATTAAAAAATATGAAACAATATTTTTTCTTATTTTATTAAAAAATACAAAAAATATTTTTTATTCTTTAATTGTTTCTCTTGTACGTGACTTTACCGAAAGAACCAATATTATGAATCCCCGCAGTCGCGAAAGCTTTAAATCAAAAGTTGCACTCTCCTTAGAAAATTCACCCTTTGTGGCCATTCCCGGTGTTGTGGCTGATTTAACAAAGCCCAAACTTGCCACAGCACCGGAATTGCTTCCAGCGTTGTGGAAATTATGAATCGAGATCCTGAAAGTAATTTTGCGGTGTGCTGAAATAATATCACTTACGACTGTGCCGGTTACAATTGCCTCACTTGTCACCAAACGCCCTCTTCTGTTGGATGTATTTCACTTTTTGTTCACGGTAGCCTAGCAAAAAATGTGGAACTTATTTAATGATTTCGATTTAAAGCTTTCGTGACTGCAGGGATTCATCTTCTTGGTTCTTTCGGTAAAGTCACGTAGCAGGAAAGTAATAAAATAATAAAAATAAAACATAATAAAATAAAATAATTCTCACGACGTTTCGGCTACAACGCAAGCAGCCGTCTTCAGGTGAAGAATGAGACACTACCAAGCTAGGAGCTTATATATAATGATTATTCATTCAAGTACATACATAACAATGGAGTGGAGAGCGGTAGTGTAGTGGATGACGCACTGCACTACGAACCCAGCCACCTAAGTTCAGTTCCCACTCGCGACCAATAACGGTGGTGGTGTAATATTTTGAACGTGTCCTGGCCCCTCCCCTAGGTCAACTCGGCCTTAAAATGAGTACCTGGTGCGTTGTGAACAACATCAGCACTGGGGAGACAAAGGTTGCCGGGCGTAATGGCCACCTCGGCACATCGTGTGACATGCTGGCCTTAATAGGTGTGCTGTCTTAATGAGTCTGTTAAAGGCCCTGCACGGCAGGAGGGATCTTTGTCATTGATCTTTGTGTTTGTGTGGGTGCTGGGCGTTGTGTGCACGTGTCTCTTCCAGGGAGCAAGTGAAGCCGTGGGAGCGTGGATGCCATGTGCTTCGAAAGAGCGGGGAAGGCGCTTGCTCCTCAACTAAACTTTCCCTCGAGAATAAATGCCTAAACATCCAATGGCATTTCTTAAATATCTCCTTTTATCGTATTTCTCTGTTGGCATATACAGTGCTGTAAGTGACGTTGGCAGTGTGTAAACCCCTTCGTTTTAAATAGCTTCATTTCATACGGTTTCCTTTGGTGTTTAATATTTTTATTTTAGGAATTGTATACGCTCTGTATTTTAATTGCTTCATATTCATCAGTTGGTATAATGGTTGCAATATTCTTGAAACATGTTTTATCCTCTGTAAATGGCACATGTATTTTAAACAAAAAAGCTATAACACCAGTATTAGTAAATCATATTGTAATTAAAACTAAAAGTTTGATCTTTCCTTTCAAAGAAAAGCATATAGCCATGCAAAGCTGAAAGAAGCTGTAGGCGCAGTCCTGCAACTGCTTTCTTAGGCCACTGCAGGTGGAAGGGGCATCCACTAGAGGGGAGCTCTAGAGGTGAGTGGAGGGGGGGCCCTCTCGGGTATTAAAATATTAGACCATGAATTCCTAAATTCAATGATGGTACATTGAATTTGAATGGAAACTTTGTGCAAACACATCCAGTTCAGTGCAATCATTAATGCAATTTTTTTTAAATCAAATCAACTGCCTGTGGGTGGCTTTTTTAAAATTCTAGATTTGAAGCTTTCGTGACTGCAAGGATTCATACTCTTTGGTTGTTTTCATTTATTTTATTTTTTACCTACGTGACTTTACCGAAAAAAACAAAGAGTATGGCTTTTTAAAATGTTTTCTTGAGAGATTTCTTGATACCCCCCCCCCTCCCTCCGTGCCGTGAATGGTTTTGTTCCAAATGGTTGCAGTGAATCTTTTCGTTGAAATTGAAACGTCTCTTCACAAAAGCGTGGCTCCTCATACTTGTCTCGAGGCTGTCCCCGTGACCCTACGCTTGGCCTAGTTCTGCTCAACTTGTCTACCGGAACAAGATGGAATTTTTGTAGCGTGCAGTCACGGCAGTGTTGAATTCGTTTATTAAAAAAAAAATTGGAAACTGCTCTTTTTACAAATGTGTCTGTAAAACTCGCCTAAGGCTCTCTGGACTACGACTTGGTTGGGTTTCTGCTTACACGGCCAATTGCAGTTAGCCGACTGAACAAAACTTAATAATCACCATCCCTATGTGTGTGTGTATGTATGTCGGGGAGGGGGGGAGTTGCCACTTTGTGAGGTACAAAAAGCCAGGACATGGGAAGCAAAATAGCAATGTCAGAAGAGGAGAGACCCACAGTACTGTACATGTAAATGTGCATCGTTTGAAGCTGTATTACTATTTTACTATTACGATATTACTTTTACAACGGACCAAAGCCGGGATTTTCCCCTGTCCGCTATCGCCAGCGGATGAATCCTGATAGAACAAGGGACAGGTGGCAACCCGAGTAAAGTTTTGTAATAAAAACCTTTATTTTTTTTAAATGTAGAATTGGCTCTCTCTAAGAATGTTTCTAATAAAACTCACCAACACTGTCCAATCTGATTTCTGCTTAACTTGCCGACCGCAGCTAAGTCGGCTTAAACATTTAATATTCACCGTTGGCAGTAGGGATGTCGTAGCCTTTAAGCCAACACGTTCTTCAATTCAACAGTGCCGTGCTCCACGTGACCAGAGGTTTCAGAAAATCCCAAGAATTCTTGGTCCCGTGGCCACAGTCTCAGAATCCCCCCCCCCCCCTCCTTCAATTTACAAAATCCTTGTGAGATGATGGATGTAGTAGATACAGACGCAGTGAGACGAGAGAAGCGGGCGATGCCTTGGGATCTCTGGATGAAATGCGCCTTTACAAATGTAAATAATTATTACTGTCTTTTTAATGTTAATTCGCGTGTTGTGTTCATTAGGATTTTTTATTTGAGCTGGTGTTTGATGTCCACTCCTGTTTTCTGCATCAATCCGAGGTCCCTTGAATATTATGGGTTCCCCAAGCTTTTCTTTGGTTTGGCCAGCTTTAACCACGACTGCCCGGTCTGTTTTTAACATCCATTAGAGGTTTTTGGGTTAGATCGCGTAAATATGAATGAGTCGTTAAACCTGTCACCACCCTACATAGCCAATTAGTAAAGTTTGTCACGTAAGCAAAACATGCCAATTTGTTACTAGTACAACCCACAACATTTACAATTCGAGTACGACGTTTCGCCAGTAATTGCACCTCGCAATTACTGGACCTGTGAAAAGGCGGCTTCATAGCTCATCGGATTCATCCAGGATAAATATAGATTCTGATTAAACAGGAGTTTTTTTGGCCACACAGTCTGAGCTCCTGTCTCTCCACGTGGTGGCGCTTTGCCACCCAAAGGCTTATGGGTATTTACTGCAGTTCTCAAATGGATTTTTTTTCAAATATTTTTTCCCGTGACACAAAAAAATGTAATTTGGTTTTAACCACTTCAGCAGGATGACTGCATGTTTTTTTTTCGAAAAATGCGTGCGCAATTAATCGCTGCTTATATGCTGTGGTATAACTGGTTTTATGAGAGTAAAACTTGGAACTAGTTTGTGAAGGTAACTCGTATCTATATTCCAAGTGTACAGGCGTAGATACTTTGTAACACCTTAAGAGGCAGTTTGTATGAAGGCAGACAATATGGCTCGATCCTTAAATAATCCTTTGTAAGTTTACGGTTCTATGTCAATCCACTGCTGGATGAAGGTCTTCGGTCTTACCCCACCCCACCCCTTGACACCTTTTGGGTCACAATGTTTGTTTAACCATACTTCCTCGCTACACCGGCAATTTGTGCGGGTTGGTCGAAGGTGGGAAACGCCCGGACCGGTTTCTGAAATCGCTCGCCGCTGATGTTAGCTTTGGCCGGAAATCGAGCCCGCGGGTCGCTGTGTCCATCACCTCAACGCGCGCTCCTAAAACGAATTGAGCTCAAATACAAGAAAAAAAAACCTTGCAAAAACGAGAGCCCTTCGCTTGTGTTATTTGCGTGGTTTCACGCTGCCCTATGCAGCCGCATCCATCCATCAGTTGCAGTCCAGCGCATCGTAGGGACTCCAGCGTGGCTCACGTCTTGACTGAGTGACGAATAGATAGAGGTTTGTTTTGACGGTTTTGAAATGATGCCCTCACTCCGTTGTTGTGGTTGTAGCTGTCATGCCTCCCATGGACGTGTATCTCTCGACAATGGGCACACGCGCGCGTTTTGTTTAGGGTGTGGGGAGCGGTGGCAGAGCGGTTAGCGCTACGCTGCGCTAGGAACCCGGGCAGTCCGGGTTCGACTGCCGCTCGCGACCGACACACCAGGTGACGATTATCTGAACCGTTCCTGGGCCTCCCCTAGGTCGACTCGGCCTCAATTAGTACCCGGTGCGGTGTGTAAAAATCGCCACTGGGGAGACAAAGGCGGCCGGGCGTGGTGTTGGCCACCCGCCCCCTCGTGTGCCGGCCTTCACAGGCGCTCGCTAACAGCACTTGCTCCAACAGTCTGTTAAAGGCTACACGGCGGGATCTTTGTCTTTCTTTTGGGTTTGTTTCATTTCGTAAACCGGTGGGCGGGTGGCGCCTGTGAACGCGCATACGCCGCGTTCACGTGGCGTGCATCGAGCCCTCCCCCTCCCCTCCACCTCGACGCGCTGGCGGAGCCAGTGGGGGGTGGGGTGGCACGTGCCCCTCCAATGATCCGATCGAAATCCCTAATTTCGATCGGATCATTGGAGGGGCACGTGCAATTTAGATCGGATCATTGGGGTTTATTAGCAATAAATCGGCATTTTGCGACCCCCACTGCCACTGTGTAGCATTATTACATGCCAGGGACTCTATGGGATGATAGGACAATAGTCTGTGTCCATAATTTGCAATAACTAACGGCAAAGCAGTTATAAGTGACTCAGAATTGTGTGCAGTTGCGTATATAGTGCACGACTTCCCTGAAGGCATTCACCTTCAGCGAGCGCGATGCCGATCACACAACGCGGTTTGAATTCGACCCTCGATCGATGGCTGCGCCGTCGCCGCACACGCGTCGAATAAAAAGCAAGGGACAAGTCCTTACTCACTAACAACTCCTCTATCATTTTTCATTGCTGGAGGGGTTGCCCTCCCCCCTACCTGAAAATGCTGGCTCCACCATTGCCTCCACGGATCAGTTCCGCTGCTGGGCGGCCACGAAACCCTGGCAGGTTTTTAGGGAGATTGCGACCGTGCACCGGGCAAACCAACAAATAACAGCTACTCTTTGGTTCTTTCGGTAAAGTCACGTAGGTAGAAATAAAATAACTAAAATAAAACAAATCACGACGTTTCGATCGCAACACAAGAAATCCTCATCAGGGTGGGAACACCACAGCATGAAATAAATGCTGAAGTTTGCCCACTACGTGACTTTATCGAAAGAACCAAAGAGTATGGATTCCTGCAGTCACGAAAGCCTCGACAACAACAACGATGAATATTCGATGCGTCTGGGGCACGGCCGCGTCACCGCTACTGGATGATGGCTGCGCGTGCTAAATCATCTCAGCGCGGAGTGGAGCGATGCCTGCCCCGGGGGTAGATCTGTGGATTTCTCCCAGCCCCCGACCCAACATCCATTCCATGAATCTGTTGCTCCGTTCCTGGCGCGTTGTTTCCGCTGTCGTCTTATTTACACGGAAACTGTTGTTGTTGCGGCTGCTGTTCATCGATTTGACGAATAAAAAAAAGTGGACCCAGATGTCATTTACACATACGGCCGATTACCGATACAACAACAGGTGTGATGATTGACACACACGGCCGACCTTATCGATACATCGGGTGTGATTATTTGACACATCCAGTCGACTAAAGACATAGCCAACTAGTAAGGGTTGTCACGTAAACAGAACGTGCCAATTCGTCACTAGTACAGCACACCGGTGTGTTGGAGAGCCAAGCCACAACATTTACAATCCGAGTACGACATTTCGCCAGTAATAACAACTAGCATCATCAGGCGACAGCCAGATTTGTGGAGAAGTCTTCCTCCTGTTTCGTTCCTTATATCGAGGCGTAGATGTGGTGACCACGCTTCTGCGCTCTTGCGCAAAGTGGGGGGTGGGGGGGGGAATTACTGAGTCAATGTACATTATGCATGTGCATTATGCGAGCCCTTTGATCTTATCCGTCCTATCTGTTGTGATATTAAAATAGCCGTACCAACGGTAATCTCTATTGAAGTATGCTGCCATTCATAGGCATGCATTTAAATAATGCATTATTTAATGATTCGCTTCCACGCAGCAATAAGGCAATAGCTATCCGAATGGTTACAATTATTTTGTATTTGGCTGTTGACGTACAACAAGCAATACGACTCCATCGCGTGTGTGCAGAAGGGTCCTACACCCCGCCTCCTCCACTTACCTCTGAGTGTGCTTTTAACTGGAGGCGCACGTGGTGGCGAGTTGTTAACTGCCTCGCCTGGTATACAGGAGGTCCTGGGTTCGATCCCGATCCCGATCCAGACCCTGACGCCTGCTGCTACTATATTGGAGTTTGCGTGCCTCTCTGCGTGTGGTCGCGAGTATTTTTCTCTGGGTCCTCGGGTTTTTATTCCCTCCAAATTTAGAAATATGCGTTTAGAGTGTGCGTTTATTTGTGACCAGGTCGCTTCTGAAAAAGAGCTATGTAGCTCAGTTGGCCTTACTTGGTAAACCAAAACAAGTATAACCCGTAAAAACTAAGTTTTTCACTATAAATCCTTTATATGCGTGGCGGCTAGAGTTCTCTCGTCCTCTGGCTTGAGATGGCTGCCACCTATGGGTCAGATGATTGCATTGCACCATTAAGCAATTGGTAATTAAATATAATATTTTTTTCCTAAAAAGTGTACAATTTTTGAAAACATTTTTCACGAACATTAATTGTCACGCACAACGAATCTGTGTAGGAAATGTCAGCTCGATTGGATCACGGGAAGTGGGTTAAAAACGACCGAAAGATTTGCACGGTCGTAAGCAAGCAAGCGAACTTAATATAAAGGATTTAACAAGTAAACCCGTAAAAACAAAGTTTTTCACTATAAATCCTTTATATGCGTGGCGGCGAACTTAATATAAAGGATTTAAAAATATATTCGCCTGTGGAGGACGCGGGGATCGATCCCGCGACCTTTGGCATGGGAAGCGAGGGCGCTACCAACTGCGCTACTCCACCACGGCCTGTGGAGGGGTTACGCTCTGGGCTCTTACACTCTGACGTTCAGCCAAATCCATGAATGCATTCTATTTGAATATATGTAAAATAAAAAAATGTTGCCTAAAAAGTGTAAAATTTTGGGAATTTTTTTTCACGAACAATAATTGTCTGGCACAACGAGTCTGTGTGGAAAATGTCAGCTCGATTGGATCACGGGAAGTGGGTTAAAAAACGACCGAAAGATTTGCACGGTCCTAAGCAAGCAAGCAAGCACGCGAACTTAATATAAAGGCTTTAAAAACAACTGCTGCACATCTGCGTGTGCCCTGCAATTACCGAAGCGTCATTTGTCTGAAACTCACTGAAACTTAAACGTTGGCCGAACCCCCAAAAACAAAAAGGATCGTCGTAGTGGTGAGGGAAACCCGAAGTTTTCGGTTCAAGTCAAAGTTTTCTCTTGCTCTAACGAGCACGGGGAGATGCTCGCTTTGAGCCAGAAGGCCGCGGTGGAAATTCGACATTCCCGTTTTTCTTTAGCCAATGCTATTTACATTGTGATAACTTATCATTATATATTATATCTTTTTATTTACCTATCATTGATAAATAAATAAATTATTTTGACTGGGCGTCAGCCCAAGAAGCCGCAGAGCCACTTTGCAGCCTCCTCCTCCAGCACGTGGAGGGCAACCATTATTGAAAACGAGATCACGTGACGGCATCACGTTCCACGATTGTAAAATTACCCAAAAAAAAATCACTCGCACTTGAAATTTATATTCAAAAACCCCCTTCGAAATCTCTTTTTCAGAAGACAGACATTTTTCAACCCGTGACAACCATTAAACTTGTCATGCAATGATTCAACCGCGCCAGCTGATACATTTTCACAACTAGGGGAGTCAAGATTTGATTTAAAAATCAATTTTTTTTTACATTGTGGTGAATGTATCGCACCGCGTGGCTGTGAACCCATTACACACAACATACATGAATACAAATGAATGGATCCTAACACGTGCAATTCGATGCATGCATTGTGAGCGTAATCAATTTTAATTGGATGATAGCTACATTGGTACATGCCTGCATTCGACCACTGTTGTCATACAGGTTTAAACGTGCTCGTCTGCCCATCTACCAGAATAGCAATTTACAAGCCTCTATGTCTCCACTGCTAAATAAAGGCATCCTTGTGCCATTAGTCGTGGGCGTTATTTGACCATACTTCACCATTCAGGTCAGTGCGAGTTGGCGAAAAGAAGCCCAGGGCTACTTCAGATGGCACTCGCCACTGATGGGAGCTGTGACTCGGGATTACACTAGGTTCTGTAACCACTGTGCCACCATTGTCTCGCCTACCCCCATTTATATTTATATTTTAGTTTGTTTCAACACACAAGTCTCATTGAGTCTAGGTTCTTGCCAATTTTTTTTTGCATCAAGGAGCAAAGATTTAAATGTGTAATCCGAATTGAGTAATTTTCAGTGTAACATTTTCAGCATTTGGGTGTTTGACCAATTCCAGTCACAATTGTGTTTTTTATTACTATGGGAGGAAACCGAAGAACCCGGAGGAAACCCATACAGAACAGGGGGAGAACATACAAACCCATACAGAGCAGGGGGAGAACATACAATCTAGATACAGAACGGGGCCAGAGTCGGGAATCGAACCCAGGAGATTCTTGCTGAAGTGGACACGTGCAACACGCGCATTATCCAGCAGCTCGTCGATTGAGGAAAGTAATCCAAACAATAGTTACGACGCGATGATGAAAATGGCAACACTTCGTGGAGC